CTGAATGATCCTCTGACAGGCTGCTGCCAAGCAGGTCCAAAAGGATTGATTCTAAGGAAGTCTGTCATTTCATTAAAAATATCCTCTCAACCTGTTTAGACTTGTGTGTTGAGTATTGTGCCTCATTCATCAAATTGAGCAATTCAGCATGAGGTAAGTGGTCTGAAAATGTTTTTGCTGAAGTTTTTGTATATTTTATAGTTTTGATAAAAAATGTTTTAGAAAGGTTGTATTCACACTCCTAACTCATTAGTCTTTCACTTGAAAATATTTTCTTTGGGCAGGTCAAGAGTATTCTTTATATGACACAACACAGCAGTGAATTGTTTAGTGTATCAGCATTATTACCTTGAATTGCCAGCTACGTTCTAATGTAGCATTTAAAAGAAAAACAAAAGGAGAAACACAGAAATTAAAAAAAAAAAACACACCAAATCAAAACCCCATAACTGGGTAGTTTTGTAGTGTTACTCCTTGAATTTGTTGGAGTCTCAGCTACAGGCTGATAGTGTGTTGGAGATGCAACATAAATAATTTCACTTCTAGTTTTATTTCACATTTTCTCTTAGTTGACTGGAGGCAGCAGACAAAATGCATACTCCTAAAAACTTAAATCTAGAAAACATATAATCAACGTTTGGGCTAGAAGTGACACCAGGAAATTGCAGTTATTTGTGATGATTCTGTTGGCACTGCTTTTATAGTTTCATAATAGTTCATCTATTTCTCTTTTCCCATGGCTCTTAGCAGGTGCAGCTGTGCAGTGTGGCTGAGTTTGAGAAATGCTCAGAGGAGAGCTGTGTGCCTTCCCCTCTCTGCACACGGGCTGAGGAGCAGAACCTGGGCTTTGATTGAAACCTGCAGATTCCCTTAAGGAGCACACAGGGTTTCAAAGGTACCTTCACCCTTTATTATTGCAGCTAATGGTTGTATAGGAGAGCAGATGGCTGAACTGAAAATTGGGAGCCCAGGGTTAGGTGAGGAATATTGCTGGTTGTGTTTTCATAATGTTTAATCAGCAGTTGTCTGTGGTAGTGTGAGTTTTTCCAGAACTAAACTTGGCATGCATTTAAAACTCATGGCAAGGTTGTGTGGGAAGAGTTGGACAAACAGGAGGGAAAAACTTCAATTATTGCCAAACAAGCAATTTTTGCCTGTTTTATTTTTTCCAAGTATGGAAACTCAGTATCATATCTCAGCACTTGTAATAATTCACCAGATTTGCTTTAGCCAGTGGTTTGGGGCCTGTTTTTTTTTCTCTCTGGTTATTATTTGACCTTATCTAGTTGATTTTGCAGCCTGTACCACAGGAACCTGGTCAGATTTACAGCTTTTCAGTGAGCCATATAGAAGGGGGGAAGTGCACGAGTTAAACCTGAAAGGTGAGAGAAAGCTGAAGAAAATGTTACTTTATCATTTCAAGAGCTCAGGCTTCTGCACTGATGGAATTGTGTCCTCTGCAAAGGCAGCCCTTCCTCAGAGCCAGTTAGCCATTATAAAATAACCTCTGATATCCCATTTCCCTTACTGCACTCAAAATAACTTTTAAATCAGCTACTGCAGCCTTTTCATTCTAACACTTCTTGTTCCTGCAATGGGTTTGTGGCTCACTCTCTGATGGTACCTTGCCCCTGGAATCAGGTAGGATGTCATTCTCACACTGTTGGACAGGGTTTGCAGCTCAGCTGTGCTGTTTAAGGAGGGTTTTTAGCAAAACAAATTGTTCATTCTCAACATACCAACCTACAACATGATTAATGCATAGATGAAAACATCACTGTTTGTGTTACCTCTGTTAGGACAATACAGGCACTGGTTATTACATTCTGGCCATATATGAACATAAAGTGGTAATTTTCTCTAGATATTCTCAAAAGCAGGTTAGCCTTTGAGCAACTATTGCACTGACAAGCTTTAGGATTAAGTTTTCAAATCAGTTCAGGCTCAGCAGTGCTGGCAGTCACACTTCAGGTGTGAAGGTCTTGGAAGCACTTTGATGAACTTCAGCCACAGTGGGTTTGTAAATCTTTGTAGATATCACAGATCACCTATTCTTATCAGTCTGCTAAATGACAATCAACAATGTACATTTTTTAACAGTTTACACTGGAAGTGGAAGTTGGCATTTGCTGTTGCATTCACAGAGATAACACAGTCTGTGCAGGCAGAACTGCTGCATTTGACCCTGATTGTAACCATTTGGCCATTCTAGCCATAACTAATGCTGCAGGCTGTAACCAAAACACTCAGTGCTTGGGATGACTTTGTTGGAATTGTTTAGCACAGGCTTTTAAGCAGTAGCTCATTTGTGGGATTAATGTGAATAGACTCAGGTCAGGGGTGTTGTGTGCTACAGGATGAGGTGTTTTGTATTTGCCATCTTCACCCATGCCAGGTTTAAAAAGATGGGGTTTGAGGCCTGACATGACACAAAGCAGCTCTTTGGCTTTTCTGTGGGAGTTTGTTTCAGTTTGGGGGCTGGATGAGCTGCAGAGGCCCCTTCCAACCTCAGCAAGTCAATGATGGGCAAGGTGTAGAATGGAGCAGGGAAGAGCAGCTCTGGTGAGCTCAGTTTCAGCCAAGGGGCAGCCCTGGTTGCCATCCCCAGGGACAAGGAAGCAGAGGGGTGGTGGCTGCTGCTGAGGAATGTGATAATCATGTGTAGAGGATGCCTAGTGGCTTTCCTTTGCTCAGCACTTCATTGTTCAGTGCTGTGCCTGTGCCTGATGCCAGAGAAAATTGCTTTTCTCAGTTAATACAGAGACACAGCTTATCTGTAACATGGTGGGAAATGAAAAGCTGCTATGGTGGGAATTCTTCAGGGAGTGAAGCACTGATGATCAGGGATGATGAGCTGTTGCATACATGATTGGATCTTTTGAATCCTGAGAAAAATTCCAAGAGAAAGTAAAAAGTGAAGAATTGCTGAAAGTCAGCACAATCTTAAAATAATCCTGACAAGGTTAATCACTGTAAATGTCTGAAATAATTCTGGTGGTTCTGTAAGTATATTTCTTTTTGCCTCTTTTCTCTGCAGCCTCATTTTTCCTTAGGAATGTGAACAGACAATGCATTCAATTTTAAAAGCTGTGGTTTAATTTCACAATAACATGATGTTACTGTGATTCCTGCCAGTCAAAGTGTGGGGGATTGGGTCTGTTTGGTGTATGGGGCCTGGGTTGTACTCCTTTAAAGTCCAGAGTTGGGAGAAAATGGGAATGTAAATGTGCATGTTTGGGTGTTGTCTGTTAGAGGGGGTGGATGGGAAGGGATGCAGAGCCAGGAGGGAACAGTTGGGAGTTTTCCTACCAGTTTTTTCCAGAGATAACTCTTCTGTTTATATAAAGTTTAGCAATAATCCACTTCTCCCTTTTTCCAAGTTGCCATACACACACCCTTTAGATGAAGCCAGGAATTTCTTTAAACAACTTTCTAGAACTGGACTGTTCCAGCAGTTTGGGATTCTTTAGGGAACTGTTTTTTGTCCAAGTTCTTAACAGTTCATTTGGTCTGTTCACCCAGATGGGTTAAACGTCTCTTATCTCTATAAACTCAATTTGTTTAGAGAAATTAAGTAGTGAGAACTGTTGAAAACTGATGATCACTGCATTTTGGGGTATCTGAGGTACTGTGGCTGTCATATCTTTGTGAGGACAGCTCTAAGCTTGCCCCTCACAGCAGGCTCATGGCCAGATACTGCTTTACCACAGCTCCTGCTCATTGGGCTGTTCTTAAGGAATTATCCTAATGTTTATTTTGGTTTTGAGGAAGGAAAGGGCTTTTACATGCACTTTCCAGGGCTTCTCTCTAATCCTGAAATCCTGAAGACCAGGAAATGTTGAAATGTTGTTTGGTGGTTGTTTTTCCTTCTTTTTTTTTTTTTGAGTTGCTTTGTTTATTTGCTTATTTATTTTACATAAACAAGTGAAATGTTTTTTGTCACACATAAATGCAGCTTGTCTTGTCCAGGGCCTGGTGACAGTTCCAGGGTTGTGACCATGCAGGCACACAGGGGCTTGGAAGGCTTTGCTGCTGTGTGCCCGTGCATCCTTCCTTGGTGCATCTCAGCAGGAACATGGCAGTTTTCCAGATGCTCCCAGGGACCTGAAACCTGTTACTGAGAGGAGCAGCTGGCAGCTTGTGTTTCACAGAAATGACCTGGCCCTGCCTGCTGCAGCTGCTGCTCAGAGAGGAGGAGGCTGAGCCCAGGCTGGGGGAGGAAGGAGCTTTGGGCCTGTGGAGGTGCTGGGTTATTATCCCAGTTCTTGAGCCAAGCCAGGAGCGTGCTGAGCACCCTGGAGTGGCTCTGTGCTGCAGGGCAGGGCCCAGCCTCTTTGGCAATGGCCAGAGAACAGAATGTCTCCCAGTTCTCCAAAGGCTTCCTTCTCACTCTCATGCAATCTCTTGTTCTCCTGGTTGCTGGATCCAGGCTTGTTCTTAACCAAGCCCCTGTTGAAAATGGAAAAAAGCTCTCCCATCTAAGCACAGGTCTGGGCTCATTTTAATAACTCACTTCCCTTTTTGGGGTCTGAGGCCCAGCTGGTGACCTGCAGCCCAGGGGGACAGTGAGTGAGGGTCATGCTCACTTCAAAGGTGGGGCAGCAGCTCTTCCTCCAACCTTTGCTGCTGAAGCCTAGCAATGACAGGCTCCTTCATCTTCATCATGACCAAAAATCCCAGGCATTGTGCACACACGTAAATACCCTTCTGTTGCCTAGGATGCAACCCTCAACAGTGCCATCTCTTTTAAGGTGAATTGTAAAATGTAAGTTCTAGTATTGTTTGGTTTGGCATCTCAGTAATTCCTCTTTCAGGAGATTGGTCATCTGACCTCAATTTCATCAATCCTCAGCAAGAAATTCAAAGCCCTGTAGTGAACTGCCAATTCTTAAGTTATTTCTAGAAGGATTTTTAAAATCACCATAAACTGTTTACTAATATCAACAATATGGAGATTCTGGAAGTCACACAAGGAAGTGGTACAGCTACAAAAGGCACAAGGGTTTTCAAAAGGCTTTCATATGAATGCAGTGATGCCAAACACCTCAGCACCACAAATTCAGCTGTAGTCACAGGAAAATGGAGAATAGAGAGAAATTTCCATTCCATTCACAGTGGTTTCATACAGGATGGAATTCATTACCAGAACCAGTCACAAGCCATTGAGTGAGTTTGCACAGCAGTATCACTCTCATCAGAATTCCTTTGCATTCAGCTACATTTAGATAGCACTGAAATAATTGCAACAGTGAAAAGTGTCTTAGTTGTGCTGTGTTTGAGTGCAACCCAAGATTAGCACTTGAAAGGATGATTCAAAGTTCACATTTACATTGGCAATGATAATTCAGATGAGGAAGGACAGAGATCTTTGCTGTTGGCTAGCTGGAGTCTGTTCCTTGCTCTTCTGGCTCAGGAGGATACAATTCATCCAAAATCAGCTCTGCAACAAAAATAGTAATGTTTCAGAGAATGATTTTTTCCCTGCTTCATACAGTATAATTATAGCTGCTATCTGCATTTTAGAACATACTGATGGTAGAAGACTACAGCAAATAACATTTTTGAAGGTTCCATGCAAGCAGGTCTTTAGATTTATCATACAAACATCTCCCCTTCTTTTCTTAAATGCCTTTTTTAGGTGACACATTCCACTATCCCAGGTTGCTCCAAGCCCCATCCCAGCTCTCCTTGGACACTTCCAGGAATGGGGCAGCTGCTCTGGGCAACCTCTGCCAGGGCCTCCCCACCCTCAGAGGGAAGAATTTCTTCCTAATATCCAATCTGAACTGCCTCCAGAGGTCTGAGCAACAACCAGCTGTGGTACTTGTTAAAAGAGAAAAGTGAATTTTTTATTTCTGCAACATGGAAAACAGCCAACATGTGACACATTTTTACCTTCAGAGGCACTCAGTTTTTGAGTCTTTTTGAGAATGGCTCTTATGCCTGGCATGGCTTGGTCATATTGATGGAGAACTTCCAAACAGTGCTCATGGAACAGTTTATCTTTCTGAGACAGGCTGTGCAGGAGTAAAACAGCATCCCTTAAAAACTGAATAACTCGTTCCCTGTGTGCACACAAGCTGCTCTCAGATCTGATCTTCATCCACTGTCTGTGCAGCATCACAATTAGTGTCTTAACCACCTGCAAGGAAAAACAGTGCCTCAACACACAAAGCAAAAATATAGCAGCAGAAAACTCATTTCAATAATGAACTTTACTGCTTAATCTCTTCAAACTTTCAAATGCCAGGATATTTTCTAGCAAGCCAAAGCCAGCTTCCTCTAAAGTACAGAACACTTCTGTTTCTCTACAGCAAAACAATAAAAGGGGCAAAAAACAATTTTAGCACTGAGTACTAGAAACTTGTCAGCAGGGTAAACTGGGGGAACATACCTCGAGGTAGCACTGACAGTCTGTGCCAGGAAATAAAACTGCTCTGGAGCACCACAGGCAGCGTGTCAGGAGCCTCAGAGTCTGTTACAAACACAGGCTGGTTAGAGTCAGAGCCAGCTTAGCATAATTCATTCCTAGTTTCAAATAGGCTTGGGGTATTTTTTTCTCCTAACAGCTGATGTCTTTTACTCTCAAAGTTGTACAAGTTTTTTTTTCCCCTGTAACACTTCATAGACAGAGTTTGCCTTGCACAGAAACCTTCTCAACTTTGTGATGAGCAAAGCTGACAAGGTCAGGGGCCTCTAATTCACTGCATACAGATAATGTGTTTACACTTACTATAACAGTGCAGCTGGGGGTAATGGAAAGGGTTCAAAATTCTTTAAAATGAGAGAAGTAGAGCAAATAGAACCTCAAATGACTCTTGTCACTTCTGTCTGTACAAACAATACAAATTAGGTTTAAAAGCTATTCTTTCTATATATAACCATGACTGTTAAACAGCAAGGTAGCATTTCCATTCATTGCAAGGAATATAAATCCTAATAGGATTCCTAACAGAATGCCTTTAAATGTTATAAATACAATCAAAATGAAATGCAAATATTGCTTCTTTTTACTCTTCTATTGCTCTAAAAGCAAAATAAAGCTTAGTGCTGAACATCTGCAGCCATCCTGGGATCTCCCTTGGCTTCTTCAGTGACTTGAAAGGCCTTTATGACAAATTGTCCCTTCAAGGATAGTTACTGATTCAGTTTCAAGCAGGTCCTTTCAAAAATCAATGTAATCCCTTACTGCAAGCCCATACTTGCAGTTTTGTATTTCAGCTAGAGAAAGAACTTGTTTTCAGACAATTTGTGCTATCCTGCTCCTCCCACTCCCCCAACTGGAAGGAGAAGGAAAGAGCACATGGACACTCAGCTGTGGTTACCTCTTGCTCCAGCTGAAGCCAAAGCATTTCAGATGCTGATTTGTCTGGTCTTGATGTTATGTACATGGAGAGTGCAAGGAGAAGGCAGGTGTCTGAAACAGAGAGAACTTTGTTCTTTTTCCAACCAGCCACTTGTTCATGACAAAAATTAATGCTATCAGGCAAGAAAACATTTTGAGTTCTGTCCTAGGGCTCATAGTACAGGCTCAGCTTCTTGATTTACTTGCCACATCTTCAGCAGTGCTGAGGAAATTGGTAGCCCTAAACCTTATCTTTGCCTTTGTGGTAATCCTGTCCTGGTTCATTCATAAGGAACTGAACAGAGATCATCTGTCCTGCAGAGTACTGGAATCTCTGAGCAGTGCCATGAGCACAGATAAATTTACCTTCAAAACTCCTCAAAGCCCCTTTTTCCTCATCAACCATAAATACACAATCTAGAAAATGCTTTTAAAATGGCCATCAAAAGCACTGCTTGTAGACAGACACCACAACACAAACACTCTCTCCATAAGCAGAAAACAAATTTTCAGGTACCAGAGGAAGCTTGTGGCCTTCTGGGGTTTCAGCACCTTGGAGCAAGGCCTGTTGGCATTACTGTGGGTCACGGTAACAGTTCTGTGTCTGCTGCAGCGTTTACCTGCATGGGAGCAGAGCTGGGCAGCCAGCAGGGGGTGCTGAGCGAGGGCTCCCAGCAGCCTCACAGTCAGGAGCACGGCGGGCACGGGGCTCTCGGGCCGCAGGCAGCGCTGCAGCACCTGAGAGCTCAGCAAGTGCTGGAAACTTCAAAACAAAACTGGGTTAGAAAAGGGAAGTGCAGTCAAAGTTGGAAATACACTACTTTCTGTAGACAGTATCGTAATTTGTGCATTTTAAGCTGTTCAGAACATAGAAAGTATGCTGGAAAACATTGTTACTCTGGCAGTCACTCTGCAGTTTTACCTGCCAGAATGAGATCCTGTGCTTTCCTTCCTTATGCACCTCCCAGCAATCACAAAAACCCCAAAATCAGTGTTACAAAGCTTCTTCACTTTCAATGAGGCAACAGCATCTGCTTCATATGAATACAATTCCTATGTTCCCTCATTACTGATCAGGGATTATAATTATACACATTAACAGCAAAGGCAGTAAAAGATCCTCAGCTGCTTCTCAAATTAATTTGAGGTGTGATTTCTCTCATACATAGCACAACTTCTAGTGGAAGTTGCCCAGATGAGTTTTAACAGAGAAAAGTGCTAAACAACAAACTCTGAAATAATTTTAAAGCTATTACTGACTTACTTTATTAATAAGTCCATAGTTGAATTTTCAGCTAATTGTACCAAAACCTTTAGGCTCTGGCACAGGATATTGTCAGTCTGGGAACCCCTTGCAGCAGAAAAAGCTAAAATCTGAAGCAGCTTTTTAAACAAAGAATGTTGAGCTCCATCAGTATTGGGAGGATCCTGTGGAGCAGCCAGCCCTCCTTGTGTCCTGCTCTCTTCTTTATTGTCACACTGATTGTCACACAACACGTTTTTGTCCGTCTTGGAAACCTGTTCATCTCCAGCAGCAGAACCGTTCTCCATTTCAGCAGACAGCAACGTGTGGACAACATCCCAGCTGTAGAAGACCAGATAATAGAGGATCCCCAGTGACACAAGAGTTGTTTCTTCAAGGTTCAGCCTGCAGTCCTCCTTGCCTGAGCCCGTGTTTGTGCTGGCCCTGGAAGCAGCAGCTGGGTGGGAGCCACAGGCTCCATTCCCTGGCGTGTCCCCGAGCTGCTCCGCTCGGCAGAAGGCACCAACGTGGTGCTCCAGCAAGGGCAGGAGGTGCACAGCCCCCGGGATCCTGCTCTGTGTGAGGGCCAGGAGCCCTCCCTGGCCTTCTGCTGGCCTTCCCTCACATCCTTCATCCAGAGCAATCAAGTTCAGTCCTGTCATTGCCAGTTTTTGAGCTTCTTGCAAAGATACGAGAGGAGCGATTCCCTCTTGAGTTGTCCTGCTGCTGGGGAGTTGGGTGGGCTTCCTGTCCAAATAAAAGTAAAAAGGAAATGCTTCACAAGAAAAGGTAGAGAACAGACTAGAAATCTGAGTTATCCATATTATAAACTGAATGACAGAAAGGCCAGAGCACTAAGAGATGTCTGTTTCCAATATAGGAAATAAAGGGGGAAAAACATCATCCTACTCCTTGATGCCTGCATGGAAGAGTCATTTCAAAGCATTCCAGGTTTCATCACCAATAAAATAACCTATCTGAAAAGCAAAGGTATTTCAGGTATTAATTCTGTAAAGTGAAGAACTATTATAATTCATATCCAATCTTCATATTTAAAATGCTTTACCAGGAAATATAAATATATCTTGGAAGGTTGCACACCAATTGTACATTACAATTTAACACAGTTTATATTTTGAAGATATAAAACCAACTTTTTAATCACATCTTCGGCATTTTCTTCCCCCTTAACTCATGATCATGTTCCTGTCCTTCCCTCATTGCAATGCAAGCTGCTCACAGCTTTACTTTAGTTCTGTGCCTTCCCCTAACTGATAATTCACCTAATTTATTTTTTAAGGATGCTCCAGTGTTTGGTATGTGTGATAATCAAAGATACAGAATGATGTTCCAAATTTTGCATGAAATGGCCTAAGCAGAGCATGATTTACCACAAGGAATGAGCTGTCCTGCATGACCAAGTGTTTCTTGGTACAGAGAATGCCACTGTGCTGAATGTGGCAGATACAGTTTAAAAAAGAAAATAAAACTTACGTATCCAAAGAGTTGGGTGGCAACACAGCTCCAGACAGAGGCTCAGAGTTGCTGCTGAGAAGGTGGCAGAAACCCAGAAGTGACCCAGGGACTATGGGCTGCTTCATCAGTGCATTCAGCAAGATAGAACCTGGAAGGATACAGAATTTTCTTTGGAGAAGATTTGCCATCAACAACAACAACAAAAAAATCAGTATTTCAGAAGATCAGCCTTATTGTGAGAGTGCTCGCCACCTCAAATTTGGTTTGGTTTTTTCATGATGAACCTTGTTTCTTAACAGGAGGATGATTTTCAGAAAAATTAATTTTAGATATTTAAATACAAACCAAGTTATATTTAGAGGTCTTTTAATTATGATCCCATATCAGCAAAATAGCTTGAGCAGAGTGATCACATATCCCAGCTGTTCTGGTGACTTGCCCTCCATTTTCTACTCCAGACATTGAAATTATGTGATGCAATTCCACTAAGATAGTACCCTAAAGAATTCTTGGAGCTGACTGTTGAAAATGCTTTATAGTGGTTTTTTTAAGGTACATTTTCCCTGGTTTTATCTCTGCATTACCAGAATGATATTACCTTGTGGTTTTCGTTTGGGGACAGAGTTGTAGGAACCATTTTTTGCTGTTGCTTTGTGCTGCTTCAGGGATGAAACTTCAGGATGGGTTATCTTCCTGTCTGAAACAAACAGGGATTGGGAGAACACAGATCTGCACCCACCCTGTGCACACAGCCACAGTGTTAGATAATATTTTAATCATCTCTATATGTCACAATTACCAAAGCCAAAAGCCTTGCAGAGTGAGAAAAAACGTAAACAAATGTATTTTTTCAAACAAACAGCATATTGAGTGTTGTTACCATAACAAACAATAGCAATACTAATGCTTTCAGGCTACTGCATTTTTCTTTTTTGCTGGAGTTCCCACTGCCCATATTTTTAGAATGAACAGTGTAACTGACAGCAACATCTCAGATTTTTCATTTCTCTTCCAGTAAGGATTAGTTGATGATATCCACATTAGTTACATTTATTATTTCCCATTGCTATTAAAAACCTACTGCTTTTGTTTCATATTATAGCAATCTTCAAATATATGCAGATATTAATTTCCTATGGTTTACTCAATGAATTTCAAGATAGAATTTTGTGAGAATTACTGCCCTACATATAAAAGAGGAAATGAGTACATTGTTTCAGTTGCTTCTTTAAATATGGCTAAATATGTACCCTTTAAAATCCAACCCCCAAAAAGCTAGAACAAGAATACAAAACATGCATTAGCTGACTAACAGACCAGGAAATAGGCAAATTATTTCCTGTTCTTTATGCAATGAGGAAAGACAGATCAGCAATTTGGATGTTTTAGTTTATCACACAATAAAGTTTTTTATTGCAGCCACTGGGCACTTCATCATCGCCACCCTGGCATCTGGTATTAAGATATAAATTAAAATTATCTTCATGCAAATTTCAGTCATGGCTATTTAACTCCAGTTGGTATAAAGTGTGAAAAAACCCTAACCAAAACCAAAATAAATAACTGTGAACTGACTGCAACTGTTCAGTCATAAAATACTCCTCCAATGCAGAATGTTCACATGTAACTAAAAATGTTGCAAGCTGTACATGGCTTTACCTTCTTTGTTTGAAGTAGTCAGGGCCATCACATTTCCTGAAGAACTCGATGGCCTAGTGGATGTTTCAGCATTGAAGGATTCCTTTGTAGGAAAAGATCTTCTTTCTGGCTGTGGAGAACATCCTCCTGATTTCACTTGTACCACAAGATTCTTTTTAGGGCTAAGATAAAAAGTCAAATCAGTATTTCTTTTTAAATTATTTTATTAAACAATAATCTATTTTCTTTGCATTGTCTGATGTTTAGAGATACTTCACTATAAACTTTTTAAATTTCTGTCACAGATACAAGGAAGGCTCTTTTTTGAGCAAATAGATGTCATCAGACTTTTTTGTTGTATATTTTTCAAGAGAATAGATCTTAGAGTCACATGAAGAAAACCTCTTCAATAGTTTAAACACATGTATTACAAAAATGAACACAAATTCCTTTTCCAACCCCCTACCTTGTTGTTGGAACTGCCTGAGGAAGGTGTTTGTTTCTCTCACAGTTCTGAAGTCGTGTTCTTAATTCATTCATTTCTGCATCCTTGAACTGCAGCTCGGAGTGCAGGGACTGGACCTGAAAGGGAGTTCAGGGCATTTCACTGTCACCAGCTCAGGAGTGGTGCAGGCAGAGCCCCAGGTCACCATCTGCTTCATGGCAACTCCCAGATCTCCAGTTTTAGCCATGTTAGCCCAGTAAACACTGTGTGAGAGCCAGGAGGTGAGGCAGGAAGCCTTTGTGAGCAAAAAAGCTATAAATTAAAACTTCTACCACCTGAATTTACTCTTTTATATTGGCAGGTTCAACAAGTTCTTACAAATATTTTCTTCTAGGTAAGAAAATAAAAGCAAACATTGTGCAAGTTTCACACAAATTTCACACAGATGTTCTTCCCTTGACTAAATGCTTTGGGACATCATAAAGTGATAAATCAGCATCTGCACGTGATCTGCAGGTAACTGATACATTTACAAACCTTTTTGGAGAACTCTTTTTCTTTTTCACTCAAAATCTGAGATTTCTGCTGTTCCAGTAGCAGGAAGGATTTTTTCTGTTCCTCCATAGCATGCTCCATCTGCTGCATTGAGTCACGCAGAATTTTAATTTCTCCATTTTTAGTGAGCATTTCATCCTGCATTTCTTTCAGCTGCAAACAGAGGAATTACATTAAAGGATGGATATAGCCAAAAGTATGCATTTGCATCAGTATGTGGTTGAAAATTAGGTGTATTTGTAATTTCTAGGGAGAAAAATACTCCTGGTAACCCAGCTTAGAAATTTCACACATGTTGCCTCTAATATTTTTTTAATTAAATCAGGCTCAGCTACTGTGTTCTTTAAAATAATTAAAAATGACAAGATCATCTTTCCATTTCCCCTTCTCTGCAATTATGTTTGGGTTTTTTTTTTTTTAAAAAAAAGTGTTGTAGTCACACACATCAATAATTTATTCATTGTTTGGTGATAACAGTGATAATTTAATGATACTACTACATCCATCAGGACAGCCAGCAAGCACTCTAAGACAGAATCTTCATGACACTGAGTCTCTAATACCTCCTGAGCAGCCACCACCACTCAGAGACAAGACTTTGGGGATAAGAAAGAAGTTACTCAGAAAAGCAAGAAGAAAAGATCAGAAATACACTTCTCTGCAACTGTAAAATTATGATTTAATATGGTGTACAGGTAGGAGACTCCCTGATAAAGGTGGATAAAATAGAGCTGGGAAAGATACAGAGAATGGAGGAAGGGAAACAGAGTATCTTTGCATAAATGACCACCAGAAAGTAAAGTAACACAAATCACTTGAAAGTCAGGTCACTTTCTCAAACCTTTTCAGTTGAACAAAACAACTCTGGCTGACAGGCAGAGAAATTATTTGACAGGGAACAAATAAAACTGAAAAATTAGCATTTGCTAATCTGAAATGACCAAGAAATAAAATATTGCTCTCACTCTTTACTATTACTAAAGCTGTTTCTAGCACAATGATTTTAACACACCCCTGGATTACAAAGATTATTGATCACCTTGATTAGAATCAAATGCTTGGGACTGGATTTATCCCACCTTCCTATCAAAAATGTGATATTTAGAAGAGAAGGGAGGATATTGCCAACCTTCTGCTTGACTTCTTCATGCTGTGTCTGCAGCACTTCAAACTGGAATGCATCTCTCATCAGACCATCTTCTGCTCTGCTTCCTGCTGCAGGGAAAAGCCAAAATCTGAAGCACAGATGATGAATGTGCAGCACTGGTGACTCAACACCAAGGTTTTGATATTTGTCATTGCATACATCTGAATATCTTAGTATTTTACTTCAATTCCAAACAGGTAAACTGCCTCATCCAGCCACCACAGGGACATTGCTAGTGCTTGTGCATCAATTCTTACAACAGAAGAACCCCTGCCCCTTCAAATTTGTAATTACAGAATGGTTTGGGGTGAAAGGGACCTTAAAGATCATCTCTTATCTTAAACCAGCAAGATGACCCACAGCAAAAGCAAGCATTTCTTCTGAGATAACTTCAGTTAATGCACAAACAAGTGTTCACTGAAAACTTATTCACCTGGAGAGGTGACAGATGTCAGGGTTGCTACAACAGACTTAGATTATTCAAGCTCTCTAAGGTTCATTATGAGGAAGCCCCTGCTTTCGTATCTTTCAAAGTAAAACTGAAAGTCAGCTGTTAATACAAGGCATGCTATTCATTTGTTAGTGGAAATTAACAGGGGGAAAAACTTCTGAAAGCCAACATGCTACCAGAATATGATACCTAAAGCATGCTGAAAGTTTAGGAAAGTCGGGTTTTTTATTTGGCAGGTTTAACATGCAGCACCCTCGTCTCACACACACCCCGGGCACGGGCTCCTGGAGCCATGAGATCAATGCAATGTTCCTGCTGGGATTGTTATTCTTGTTATCCCTCGAATCCCAACCATCCCTGTGATACCGGGGGTGCTGCTGGCCAGGGGAACGGGCAGGAACAATTCC